AAACAATGTACAAATGCGCTTTACACAATTGATGTGTGTATGGATTGGGATAACAGTTGTATGAGCCCCTAATAAAATGTTAAAAAATAAATTAATTAATTAAAAAAGGGTGTGTCTGTGAAAAGAAAGGACAATAAAAGGCATCGAACGTGCTATCAAACTTGAGGAACTCAATAAATTCCACATACTTACTAAGGAGGCAATCAGCAAATTGAGGAAAGTCATTATCAAGGAAGATGGCTGTTGTAATCATTTATTACATTTAAATGGAAGGCAGTTGGGCAGTGACCAAGGGGCAGGTGATCTCTCAGTATAGTCAGACTGCTTGGGAAACCACTGTCCGTCGCCATAACTTCACCAGGGCTCTTTTCATCTCGTTGTTCCGCAAGCTGTAGATCAGTGGATTCAGCAGAGGGGTGAGCAGTGAGTAAGACAGGGACATCAGCTTCTTGGTTTCTGGGGAGTAGTTGGATTTGGGTTGTAAATAGGTCATACTGGCTGTGCCGTAAAAGAGGGTCACAGATGTGAGGTGAGAGGCACAGGTGGAAAAGGCCTTTTGCCGCCCAGTGGCTGCTGGCATCTTCAAGATGGCAAAGAGAATCCGAACGTAGGACAAAAGTATAAGCAAGAAAGGGACCGTAACAATTAAAATGGTGCCTGTGAAGGCATAGATTTCAAACAAGAAGGTGTCTGCACATACCAGCTCTAGCACCGGGGGAGTTTCACAGAAAAGATGATTAATTTCATTGGGACCACAAAACGGGAAACTAAACACCCATGTGGTTTGTACAGTGGCCACCATGACCCCTGAAAGCCAGGAGAGCAGCACTAACTTGAGAAAGGCCCTTTTGGTCATAAGCATCGGGTAGCTCAGAGGCTGACAGATGGCCGCAAACCGATCATAGGCCATTGCCCCCAGGAGAAAGCATTCAGTCCCGCCAAACAGAAGAATGAAATACATCTGCGCACAACAGGCAGCGAAAGAAATGGTTGCCTTCTCCGTGGAGAGCACCGCCAGCATCTCAGGCATAATGACTGCACTGAAACTCACTTCCACCACCGACAAGTTCTGGAGGAACAGGTACATGGGGGCCTGAAGGCTCTGGTCCAGGGAGATGACCACTATGATGACAGCATTTCCTACCAACGTCACCACATAGATAACCAAGAAAAGTCCAAAGATCCGCTCCCGGAGTTCAGGAAAGTTTGAAAATCCCAAGAGGATGAATTCAACCACAGAGCTTTGGTTTTGCCTTTTCATTTCAATCGTGGATCCTGTCTCTTGTTTCTGGACATAGCACATAAACTGTGACGCCCCAATCAGCGTGGGGGGCTCTTGACAGACGTGGTGATGCACATGTCCTGACAGAAATTCTGATGGACAATTTTGTAAAATGACCAGTAACTCGGAATAATGAATCTTTCAAATGCAACTGAAGAACTGAAGAATTCTGGCTCAGAAATCTTGTTTGGAAAGTACGAAAATCCGCAGGTGTTCTCTGACAATGTGTTTGCTAGGTAGGCTGAAAATGAAACCTGTTCTTAAGACATGCGCAGATTCATGACATTGATGGTTATATCACTTTGTTTTACCCAATTGTTATTTCTATATGAATTTTAAAATAAAGTGTTTCCAAGGCGACAATAAAAATCCAGGATTAAAATTTTTTACGAATAATTCAAAATTAAACCAATTTTTCATAAATAAGCATTTAAAATATCCAGTTAAATCAAACTGTATTTATGTTGCATTGTTGAAGATGGAAAATATGAATCCACACAAAGAGACACAGAACAAACACATCAAGGAAATTGAACTTTAGACATACTTGTCTTAGGCGAACATAAATTAATTTGCCCCAAGCATATTGATTCCTGGCCAATTATCCTGAAATGTATTGTATGGTAAACTTGCCTATCTGATATTGAGATAGCTGCAGAATAACTTGATGGGCTCAGTCCTCTGTGGCCTATTTTGTGACCATAAATGGGGTAAATGGGATGTTTTAAAGCTATTCAATGACCATTTGGGGTCACTCTGATCAGGTAGTTTGAATAGTTTTTTGTCTCCTCCAAAATATATCCCGGTTTCCTCCCGGCATCCAGCTTCCCCATCTGTATGTTTAATAGTCATTGCCACGGAGTTGATTCTGACTCTTAGCCACCCCATACGTGGCTTCTGAAACTAAACACCTATCGGAGCAGCCAGCTGCATCTTTCTTCCTCAGAACATCTGCTGTTCACCTTTAGCAGTCCAGTGCCTACCCACAGTGCCATTGGAGCTCCTGATGTTTGCCAAAACAAACAAACAAACAAAAACCCTCAAACTCATTGCCAAAGAGTGGATTCTAGCTCATAGGACAGGGTCATCTTCAGAGACTTGAATCTTTAATGGAGCGGAAAGCCACTTCTTTCCCAGCAGAGTGCCTGGTGGTTTTGAATTTGCAGCCTAACGCCTAACCCCCAGTGCCACCAGGACTCCTGCCTTATCTATTTAGAAGAAACAAACTAGCCTTCGGTGCCTCTTAGGACTCCGGCATTGCTCATTTCTCTGATTTGGTCTTTGAGAACTACAGGGCCACTCCTTCGTGTAAATAAGGGACAGGATAAAGGGAGGATAGGAAGTGGTGGGTAGAATTTAGGAGGCCAACTTTCTGCCTGAGTGACAGTCCAAACAGAATTTCCTCCCAATCCAGCTTCCCTCTTAGAGTCTTCTTGGACAAGGCACCTTCCCTGTCCCTCCCAGTCACCGAGATCATCCCCTCCCTACCCTCGGTATCTAATTCTTTGTCAAGGTCCACAGATCTTTAAGATATGGGCTCCCACTAGCCTATGGCCCCTGCTCCAGCTCACTGCCGCCCTCCCCTCCCACTCCAAAGCCTCCTCTCATGATTCAGTGGTATCCTAACTGCCTTCTCCATGTTTTGCACCTTCTCTTCCAGTTTCTACCTCACATTTCTGCCAGAAATTCTCACCCACCTTTCCCCAATCCTTCAGGGGTTCTCCTCATTCATAGAATAATCCTGTTTCTTGGGATGGTATTTAGGAAAACCAGAGTTATACCAAGTGCTTTAGAAATCTAAATGGAGGAGAGATTGCTTCTGAGTGGAAAGAGAGAAGGGACAACTGTGATTACAGGATGTCTTTGGTGTCATGGTCGTCACTAAGAGAGATGGAATAAAGAAAATGACTTTAAAAAAAGAAAGAAACCAACCTTGATCAAAGGTTACCCAGAGTGAAGGAGAAAGTGTTTTTGCTAAGGGGGCATTGAATTTATGTTAATAGTGGTGGAATAATTTGGGGAAGGATATCAATAATGGTTGTGCAACATGAAGAGTATCATCAATAGCACTGAATCATGCATGTAGATGTTGTTGAAATGAAGAATGTTTTGTTGTGTAGATTTTTGCCACAGGTAAACAAAAATAATGCCATGAATATCAATGAGTACAAAGAAGAGGAAAATATTCTAGTATTGAATATGATGACAATTGTACACCTCTTCTTGATATAATTGAATTTTTGAATTGTATGACATGTGGATGAAGTGCCAATAAACCTGTTTAAAAGGTAAATAAAGACAACACAGGGGTGCTTTGCGCAAGTCAAAAGTTGGTGGGTGACTCGGCCTGGGAAAGGGGGTCTGCTGGCCTTTGCTTGATGATTTGAAAACAGAATTTCGTGAAGGGACAAAAGAATGTCAGAAAGAAACATCATGTTCAAAACATATCATGTTGTCTTCAGGTCCAGATCAATAGCACATTGGCAGAAAGTAGAAGACAAGTTACTTTATTCCTAACTAACTTGAACCAGAGTCACACAATACAATCAAATAGCTAAATTTACTATCATATTGAGACTTTGCAGGATCCAAAAAAATCTCATAAAACAGATTCTGCAGGAAGAAAACATTTAGGGATCATGTTAAATATCTTTGAGTACATTCAGCTCTAAATATAAATACGGATGTATGTGCTTTAAAAATAAGAAAACTTACGAGGCAGCCATTGACCAGTTGCTGTCTAGTTAATTCTGACTCAGAGTGACCCCAGGTGGGTCAGAGTAGAACTGTGCTCCACAGGGGTTTCGATACTGGCTTTTCTGAAGTACCTCAGCAGATCTTTCTTCTGAGAGAAAAACAGAGAAACTTCAGGAAGATGAGAAAACAAGATTAGGGAACAAACCTAAATCACCACCTTCATGAGGAGTTAAGAGAAAATAAATGTAAATACTCCTTTTTTCCTTTAACACAAAACACCCAAATACTGTAGTTCATGGGTACCGCTGCTGGCTCCATGGTTAACTTTTCTGTAGAACCTTGGGCTAAGCACTCCCTGGTCTGGAGCTGATCTTTCCACAGGATTGTCCTTTTTCCCAACCCCAGCCTCTTATAATCCCCTACGAAGTTCTTATTAGCTCAAGCAAACAACTCATAGCACTAGTTACTGCCCACATTAGCATCAGAAACAGGTACGAGGTGGCTTCAAAAGATTTGTGGGAAAATGGAATTAGAATTTTTCCACAAACTTTTTGAAACCCCCTCATATGTCAGCTGGGTCTGTTGACTTTTGAGTGCTGAATTACCACTTGCTAAGCAACTCTAACTACCATTTAGAATAACTGTACATGATACATTTACCAACAAGTATAGAAACAAAATCTTCAGTTGCTTACTGATTTTCTGATCATTTCTGATTTTCATCGCATTTAATCATATGTTCTACCTTTTTAGTTAAAACAAAATAAAAAGCTCTTATAAACTAAATTTAGTGGTTCCGTGCACTGGTTTCATGGCATATTATAGGATAGTACATTGCATTCCCTATGAGAATCCCTCCCTGGAGAATTTATACCCAATTAGTACAGACTTTCCTATGTGAAGATAAGAAAGCTCATTTACACAAACTTGAAGTATCACTCCTGAAGGTATGTACAGGAAATAAGTACTTCTTTACATAAGAGACTCAATTCCACCATGGTATCATATTCCCTGAGTGACATAATGGTTAGGCATTCAATTGCTAGCCAAACGTTTGGCAGTCTGAACACACCCAGGGTCTCCTCACAAGACCGGTCTGTGTCGAAAGGGTAAAGCCTTGAAAATTTATGGGGTAGCTCTACTCCACACACATGGGGTCACCGTGAGTCAGAATTGACCCAACAGCATGTTCAATAGGACTTAAAGCCCAGGGTAGTAAATGGGAAAACAGGAAGGAAAGGAGAGGGAGAGGCGAGAGTATGAACAAAGACAGACAACCTAGAGGTGTATGTTAGGCAATTTGCGCCCTGGCGAAACCGAGGCAAGTAAGACAAGGAGACTGATATCTCTTTGTAAAAATCCTAGACGATCCACTAGACCATTCTCGGTTTCCTACCAGAAGTGTAAACACAGCCAAACCACACCCACTGCCCTCGAGTCGGTTTCCAGTCCCAGAGACCCTCTATAGGGTTCCCGAGGCTGCAAATTGTACTGGTTAGCAGACTGCCTCTTCTTTCTCCTGCCTAGTAGCTGGTAGATTTGAACCACCAACCTTGCAGTTAGCTGTACAATGGTTACCCAACAGTGCCACAATGCCTCCTTCATAGAGAGTTACTGAAAATTCCAGTTGTGGAAGTCCATACGTGAATGGATTCAAGAACCTCGCCAACTTCAGAGGTTGAGTGCAAGAATGAAGGGGATTACAAATAACCACATGCCCTATTTGTTAAAGAATCTTCTTTGTACTGACCATTTTCTCATGGAATAGCCTGGAAATCTGACCATAACAGCACAGCTAAAAGTCCTAGGTGAATGCTCTTGTTAGAAGACCCAGTGGGAGTCTTTTTTTTAACAGTTTTATTGACACATAATTCATGTACCATACAATTCAATGTCTTTGATATGTTTTTTTTAAAACGGTTGTACAATCATCATTACAATTAATTTGAGAACACTTTCTTCATATTTGTACTCATTATTATCAGCTCTCCCAATTGCCCCAGCCTCCCCTGCCATAACCCTAAGAAACTATTATTCTAGCTACAGTCTCTATTGATGTACCTATCCTGGATCTGATATAAAGAAAATCATGCCAAAAAAGCTCCCAACAACAATAACAAAATAAAGCACAGAAAAGTCTCCATCCAAGTGAAAGCAGAAAATAAAAACTAGAATAAATTTAAAATACATCAAAAGGGAAAGCAAATGGTAAGATGTTAAAATTTCATCCAACTATATCTTCATTAATTCACTTTGTGATGAACTCTGTCTTAAGGCAAGGC